ATATCGTCTGCGATAATATCGTAATAATCGTTTTAACAAACAAATGAGTTGAATCAATGATTCAACAGATTAAGAGTCACATGCTTCGCTCCTGAGTGAATCAGCCGTTTGAATGAATCGGTTGAATCTCAATGACTCGCTGCCCCCTACTGGTGGGTTCAATTTATTTTACATTTAAAGTATCTTTTAAATCACTTTAAATATCAATATTCAACGTCTTATGCTTAAAATATCAAAACATTATTTGGTTTCATTGATTTATTCATATAGCACCTTACACCCTACCACCATAGTTCAGAACTGCTGCTCATTGCAATAAAAAGCAACAGAACAAAGAGATAAAACATGAAAACATCCACGTACTAAAATACCAAAGAGAATGATCCTTAAAAACATCAAGAGTCAAGGAAGATCTAACGATGGCAGATTATTCCCCAATCCAGATCACGGATCAGTTGGAGGAACGGCTAGAAGAACCCGTCTGATGAACCCGAACACACATCGGGACCCTATCCTGTGTGCTGAGCTGTACTGGAGCCAACCTAAAGAGATAGCGGGAGAAACATGATCCTACTACTCCTCTGATCTGCATTCAGTGTATGTGTGTGTGTGTGTGTGTGTGTGTGTGTGTGTGTGTAGGCAACTAAATCACTTCTGTGTTTCCATTGCAGAGATGACTTTTGTTCATACTGATTTGATTGGGAACAGCCCTATTGTGTCTTGTTATTATAATTTAATTTGATTAAATCTATGAAACTGACACAAAAGATTATGCATGCATATCATTAGGTTTGAAAAATACCCATATAAAGGTGATGAAATGAATTGAAACATATTGGAAAAAATTATTTCTCAGATGTAAACACACATAGTTCCAGATGCACACACACACACACACACACTGAGACTGAGGAGCATCTGCTAGTGATTTGCTGTAATTGCTGCAGGGTCACGGAGGTCAATTGGACTAATTGGAGTTCCTGATGAAGCGGCGAGCGGCTCCTTCGCTCTCGGGACTCTTCAGAGGAACTGCCGTTTAATTCCACACGCTGTCCGTTTGGGTTTTGGATTCGCTGTTAAAACAAACACTGATTGCTACACGACAAGACGACCTTAGTGTGTGTGTGTGTGTGTGTGTGTCCATCTGGAGCTCTGAGCGAGTTAATCATGCGAGGAGAGAGAGAGACTTCTGACCGTCTGTCCTCCAGTCCAACACAAATTATAAACGCAGCAAAATCATATTTTTGGTGTCAGGCCTTCAGGACCAGATCTAATGCATGTGTTTCTGAAACCGATAAACCGGTCGATCTGATCGGGAGTTTACACTCTTATCCAGTAAGAGTCGTTTAGTACCTTAATACTGATGTTTTATACAGTGTTGGAGTCATACGCTGAAGAATCTTCAGAATCTAAATGGACCTCCTAGAGAAGATTTAACAAATTAACATTTGGGAAGAAGTATGAAAGCTGAATCACAAACTATTAACAGTAATTATCATGGTATATTGTTTAACAAATTAAGGCAAAGAGGGGGTCCCAAGTGTAGGGTGAGAAGTGTGGCTTACTGGTGTGCCCACCAGACTACGCAAGTGAAATGGGGCAAAAGTGTCTCAGCTTTATTTAGGGTCGGCAATGGATTCAGACACGGGGGTATTTTGTCACCTGCTCTTTTTAATCTCTATATGGATGCAGTTGAGAGCCTGTAATAATGGTGCATATTATGTATGCAGATGACCTTGTGACCTTTAACCCAAGTAGTGCTGGATTACTGCAGCTCTCAGTAACATGATATCAAACATAACGCCGATAAGAGTGTCGTCATGATCTGTAGAAGTAAAGATGACAAATGTTTGAACTACCCGGATTGAAATTAGCATATAAAGACGCACTGAGAATGTTACTCACAAGACCAAGATGCTGTAGTGCCAGTGAGATGTTCGTGGGTATAAGGAGACTTAACGGGTCACAAAGTGAAATAATAATGAGCTTAACTAACATACGGCTCAGTCCTACACACTACCAATCCCGTAAGTGGAAACACTGGTATAATGGCCTTCTGTAGAACATTGATTTTCTTTTTATTATTTTGTTTGTTTTTATGTCTAGGTATGTATGCATGTACGTTTATGGTGTACTCATGCATTGTTGTGGGTAAGATTTGGACCTCCAGTCTGTAATAAAAGTTTTGATTGATTGATTAATCTCAGATTAATACAGTACAGCTGGATTATGAGAACATATTTGACTCCAGTTACGTTAAACTACATTACCCACACACACACACACACACACACACACAGCTGATAAACACACTCACAGTCAGTCACACTCTGTGACCGCTTCACAAGTCTTCAAATCTGCTCTGATATTATCCAGTTAATGCATGAATAACTTTGATATTGTTATTAATATTTCAGCTGGACTGAAGCAGGTCTACTTGATTATCATCATCATTTATTATAAAAATAATGAGTATCAAAAGTGATCATTCGGCTTTTGAGGAAAGTTTATTTGTTGATCTCTCAATCATCGTTGAGATTAACATGACAAGCATCAGAATTGCATCACAGAGAGGGAGAGCGAGAGAGAGAGAAATGGGAGAGCGAGAGAGGGAGAGAGAGAGAGAGATGGGAGAGCGAGAGAGGGAGAGCCCTGACCTACCAAGAGCTGAAGCCAGAGAAGAACGCCCTAGGCCGATTGGTCTTAGAGCTCACGTCACAAACGGACAGTAAAAACATAGTAACCCCAAACCAAATAACTAAAACACAAAAAGAAAAATACTTCAAACATTGGACAGACGCAACAGCCAGACAAAGTAAACTGGAATGCTATTTGGCCCTAAACAGAACATATGAATTGGCAGGATACCTGAGTACAGTGAGCGACCCAAAACTGAGGAAAGTCCTGAGCATGTACAGACTCAGTGAACACAGTCTGAGCATCGAGACAGGCAGACACAGGCAGACCTGGCTGCCGAAGGAAGAGCGACTGTGCCCTCACTGCACAGAGAACCAAGTGGAGACAGAGCTTCACTTTTTGACATCCTGCCCCAAATATGCAAACATTAGAAACACTTTCTATCCCCTTTTCACAACCTACCAGAAAGACTTCCATCAGAAATGTAATATGGATAAACTCCCACTCCTACTAGGAGAAAGCCCAGCGAGCTCTAACCTGGCTGCCAGATACGTGAAGTCCTGTCACGAAGAAAGAGCCTCCAGCAGGATAGAGACTACAAACTACACACCTAGAGACACTGTGTAAATATTAGTAGATTTAACTTTTTATTGCAATGTTTATCTCCACGAAGAAAAAAAAAAAAAAAAAAAAAAAAAAAAAAAAACTTTACTTTATTTTTATTATTTTTATTTAACTATTTACTTATTTATATTCTATAGTGTTCTGAATACTTTGGCAATGTAAAGATTTCTTTAACCATGCCAATAAAGCTATTTGAATCTTGAATCTTGAATCTTGAGAGAGAGAGAGAGAGAGAGAGAGAGATGGGAGAGCGAGAGAGAGAGAGAGAGAGAGAGAGAGAGAGAGAGAGGTGTGTTAATAGAGAAGTGAGGGGGAGGTCACGGGGTCATTGAGGCTCTGCTATGGTCCGACCTTCTGACACTAAGAGTCTTGGGCTGTGTGTGTGAGTGTGTGCTGCTCAAACAGAGTGCTAATGCTCTGATCAAACACACACACACACACACACACACACCACACCTACGCCTTGTAGATCAAGCAGCGACACGTATGTGTTATGATCTCACCGGAACCAATTGTGTCTCCACAACGCCATTAAGCAACAGATTGAAGCATGTGTCTGTGTGAAGACTGTATCCATGCCACTGATAGCAGAGGCGCTCACACACACACACACACACACACTAGAGCCCGTCCGATAAAAGATTTTGAAGGCCGATACCGATGCAAATATTTTTGTGTTTTAAAATCCGATATTCCGATATATCGGCCGATATTTTTTTGTTATTAAATATTGTTGGATTTCACACGCGTGTAAAAGAAAAGTGAACTTTTCTGCACAAGATCCGTTTGATACTTTTTCTCTATGTCTAAATGTTCACTCCTCGCAAGTATAACTTACATTTTACAATGCAGACACTGCAACTAGAGATACGCTAGTTATAAATACAGTAATCATTACTTTATTTAGGCAGAAAAAGTTCATTGTGGTTTCCAAGCTCATTAACGTTAGCGGTCTTCCACTGATGATAGTGGCGTTAGCCTGCTTTGTGGTTCGCTAGTCTATGATGAGCCATAATTTAGCAATAGATGACATCATACTGCAAATTGTAAAACATACATTTTTAATATAACAGGCCAAGGAGAGATGATTAAAGCGTGTTTCTTCCGTTTTTATTTTATTTTTTAAAATTTTCATTTATCTGCCATTATAACTGCCGATACCGATATTATGGAAAATGCCTAATATCGGCCGATAATATCGGTCTGCCTCTAACACACACACACACACACACACACACACACACATAGTATTACCACTAACAGGCTGAACTCCATACTGACGGAACTGCGAGGGAATATGAACTGAGATGTGAATATGGAGGGTAAGATCTGTATTGGGCAGCTGTGTGTGTGTGTGTGTGTGTGTGTGTGTGTGTGCCTCTCATACTACAATAACAGCACTTCATCAGAGGAACATCTGGAAATTACTCTGATAATCAGGCCAGGGGAATCAAACTGTAGATGTTGTTTTTCCACGGCCTCTTCTGGTTCCCTTACAGGCCTAATGACAACACTGTCACTCCCAATCACTCTCACACACACACAGGCCAACATTTGTCAAGCGTTATGACAGCTGTAATGGCTTCCACCCGCTAGCCTCGTCCCAGCGTTAGCCCAGCCGCGCACCACTCTATTAGCATCTGACCGCAGCGAGCTACAGTGTTAATGAGCGGAGGAGTGTGTGTGTGTGTGAGCGGAGTGTGTGTGTGAGCGGAGTGTGTGTGAGGAGCATTTCTCACCCGTCCAGCAGGTCCATGGTGGAGGAGGTGACGTCGGCATAGACGAGTGTGTGTCCGAGTGTGTGTGTGCGCAGGTGCTGCCGGTACGTGTGCAGGCTGAAGTGTTCAGAGAAGCTCTCGGGAGGATCAGTGTTTATCACACACACACTCCCTCGCTCTCCCAGATCCGGCTCGGCTCCGGCCCGAAGCTTCAGGACTCCCGACCCACCCGTCAAGCAATGCAGGAGCCGGTGCTTCTGCTCCTGTGGGACACACACACACACACACACACACACACTCCATGGATTTATCATCATACTATGATGGTTTTGATTTGCTTGAATAAAATAGAAATCACTTTAAAAAAGGAAAATATATTTCAGTGCAACGTGCAGCGCAACTCTGTCACATCAGCCACATAACATTATGTGCTTGGGAAGTGGATTTTAATGGATTACGGCTCTAGATTTATCGATATACCGGTCAACAGCTTTTAAATATCAATAATTATCGGTCACCGACTTTCAAATATGGACAATTAACAGTTACTGGCTTTCAATCAAATAATTATCATATATCGGCTTTCAAATATAAAGAATTATAAGACACACTCACACACACTCAGTGCCTGGTTTTATTCTCACACGTTTAATGCTTGTTTTTGAAGCAAGGGCTCGTTTGATTGGCTCTGTCGTTAGAGACGCTCAGTCATTAACCAGGCGATCGACGAGAACAGCCAATCAATGACGCCGCTTGCTTCTGGTTACATCAACGATAATCATATCATATATGCTCAGTGAAATATATCTGTGCAGAAGAAAAGATAATATATAACGTTAAATAAAAACACTAATATGCAAGTATTAAATGTATAATCATATCTGAAGTGTGATCAGGACAGATATGAGGACGAGTATTTCCCGCTGAAGAGAGAACGAGTGACGGGGAGAATCCACACTGCCACTCGTTAATCAAATATTATTAAACATTTTATAATCATATTGCGTAGTCGTGCTTGGAGTCGGTTGTTTTATTTGTGATAATAACGCAATGAAACATGACAAACCGAGAGACATACTTTTTGCCAGACCGTCAAACAAAGACATTATGAACAAGCAAGAGAAAACCAACCGAATATTAATAACGGAGTATGATGTAATCAATATTTGATTTTTCCTCTCAACTTTTTTAATATGAAACCTGCATCTATAGTTTGCCTTTTTTGCCAAATAATTTTAGTGTTTAAAAGGTTAGTGTTTTGTTCTTCCCTCATATTTAAAAAAAATAATATTTTCCTTATATTTTCATGGTTTAATCAACATTATAGGGTCATTAAAACAGGCATCCTCTCCTCACTGTATTATTAATGAGCACAATATTTCCTCATGTCTTCGGCTGAGTATGACAGACACACACTGACACCTAGTGGTCATCATTGACACATCTGTGTTATCTACACCATACAACCAAACTCCACTACATAAAGCAGAGACACAATGATAACAAATGGTTTCATTAAACTCAAAATCCCTGAAAGTCTAAATCAGTCCTGGGAAAATGAGACTGGAGACTGGAGATGTGTGTGTAAACTGCTCCTCCGGCCTCTATACTCATGTAATCTCATCACAAGTTCTTCACAAGAGTCAGCTGTCAATCACACAGGATGAACTACAGTACTACAGGATCCTCAACAGAACCAGCGTTCGCCTCCTCGGGCCTTCAGGACCTCAGAAAGGCCGTTCCCTCAATGTGTGATCAAATTATTAAAACATAAAAGATCGCCTGTATGTGTCAATTACCAACACAAACTGTGCAAATGATAAACGTTCACTCTGATCAGTGTGAAGGACAAACTTCAGTCACAGATCACGAGTACTGCCATCCGTCATATAGAGGTTGTTAGCATCAGTGACGTGTGTGTGGGTCACCTGGTGTGTGTGGAGCAGGTATATCGGTGTGTGTGTGTGTGGGTCACCTGGTGTGTGTGGAGCAGGTATATCGGTGTGTGTGTGTGTGTGGGTCACCTGGTGTGTGTGGAGCAGGTATATCGGTGTGTGTGTGTGTGTGTGGGTCACCTGGTGTGTGTGGAGCAGGTATATCGGTGTTGTGTGTGTGGGTCACCTGGTGTGTGTGGAGCAGGTATATCGGGGTGTGTGTGGGCACAGTGCTCCGCTCACAGCTCAGACCCAGAGTCCTCAGGATCTCCGTCAGAACCTCGTAGCGAAGAGAGTTGCTCAACTTCAGCTCTGAGAAACCCTGAGCATCATGAACATCTGGATCCGCCTCCAAACGCACCTGAACACAAGAGGAGACGCACATCTGTCAACACACACTCAACACAAGAGGAGACGCACATCTGTCAACACACACTCAACACAAGAGGAGACGCACATCTGTGTCCACACACACTCAACACAAGAGGAGACGCACATCTGTCAACACACACTCAACACAAGAGGAGACGCACATCTGTGTCCACACACACTCAACACAAGAGGAGACGCACATCTGTCAACACACACTCAACACAAGAGGAGACGCACATCTGTGTCCACACACACTCAACACAAGAGGAGACGCACATCTGTCAACACACACTCAACACAAGAGGAGACGCACATCTGTCAACACACACTCAACACAAGAGGAGACGCATATCTGTCCACACACACTCAACACAAGAGGAGACGCACATCTGTCAACACACACTCAACACAAGAGGAGACGCACATCTGTCAACACACACTCAACACAAGAGGAGACGCACATCTGTCAACACACACTCAACACAAGAGGAGACGCACATCTGTCCACACACACTCAACACAAGAGGAGACGCATATCTGTCCACACACACTCAACACAAGAGGAGACGCACATCTGTCAACACACACTCAACACAAGAGGAGACGCATATCTGTCCACACACACTCAACACAAGAGGAGACGCACATCTGTGTCCACACACACTCAACACAAGAGGAGACGCACATCTGTCCACACACACTCAACACAAGAGGAGACGCACATCTGTCAACACACACTCAACACAAGAGGAGACGCACATCTGTGTCCACACACACTCAACACAAGAGGAGACGCACATCTGTCAACACACACTCAACACAAGAGGAGACGCACATCTGTGTCCACACACACTCAACACAAGAGGAGACGCACATCTGTGTCCACACACACTCAACACAAGAGGAGACGCACATCTGTCCACACACACTCAACACAAGAGGAGACGCACATCTGTGTCCACACACACTCAACACAAGAGGAGACGCACATCTGTCAACACACACTCAACACAAGAGGAGACGCACATCTGTCCACACACACTCAACACAAGAGGAGACGCACATCTGTGTCCACACACACTCAACACAAGAGGAGACGCACATCTGTCCACACACACTCAACACAAGAGGAGACGCACATCTGTGTCAACACACACTCAACACAAGAGGAGACGCACATCTGTCAACACACACTCAACACAAGAGGAGACGCACATCTGTGTCCACACACACTCAACACAAGAGGAGACGCACATCTGTGTCCACACACACTCAACACAAGAGGAGACGCACATCTGTGTCCACACACACTCAACACAAGAGGAGACGCACATCTGTGTCCACACACACTCAACACAAGAGGAGACGCACATCTGTCCACACACACTCAACACAAGAGGAGACGCACATCTGTGTCCACACACACTCAACACAAGAGGAGACGCACATCTGTCAACACACACTCAACACAAGAGGAGACGCACATCTGTGTCCACACACACTCAACACAAGAGGAGACGCACATCTGTCAACACACACTCAACACAAGAGGAGACGCACATCTGTGTCCACACACACTCAACACAAGAGGAGACGCACATCTGTGTCCACACACACTCAACACAAGAGGAGACGCACATCTGTCAACACACACTCAACACAAGAGGAGACGCACATCTGTCAACACACACTCAACACAAGAGGAGACGCACATCTGTCCACACACACTCAACACAAGAGGAGACGCACATCTGTGTCCACACACACTCAACACAAGAGGAGACGCACATCTGTCCACACACACTCAACACAAGAGGAGACGCACATCTGTGTCCACACACACTCAACACAAGAGGAGACGCACATCTGTCAACACACACTCAACACAAGAGGAGACGCACATCTGTGTCCACACACACTCAACACAAGAGGAGACGCACATCTGTCAACACACACTCAACACAAGAGGAGACGCACATCTGTCAACACACACTCAACACAAGAGGAGACGCACATCTGTGTCCACACACACTCAACACAAGAGGAGACGCACATCTGTCAACACACACTCAACACAAGAGGAGACGCACATCTGTGTCCACACACACTCAACACAAGAGGAGACGCACATCTGTCAACACACACTCAACACAAGAGGAGACGCACATCTGTGTCCACACACACTCAACACAAGAGGAGACGCACATCTGTCAACACACACTCAACACAAGAGGAGACGCACATCTGTCAACACACACTCAACACAAGAGGAGACGCATATCTGTCCACACACACTCAACACAAGAGGAGACGCACATCTGTCAACACACACTCAACACAAGAGGAGACGCACATCTGTCAACACACACTCAACACAAGAGGAGACGCACATCTGTCAACACACACTCAACACAAGAGGAGACGCACATCTGTCCACACACACTCAACACAAGAGGAGACGCACATCTGTCCACACACACTCAACACAAGAGGAGACGCACATCTGTCAACACACACTCAACACAAGAGGAGACGCACATCTGTCCACACACACTCAACACAAGAGGAGACGCACATCTGTGTCCACACACACTCAACACAAGAGGAGACGCACATCTGTCCACACACACTCAACACAAGAGGAGACGCACATCTGTCAACACACACTCAACACAAGAGGAGACGCACATCTGTGTCCACACACACTCAACACAAGAGGAGACGCACATCTGTCAACACACACTCAACACAAGAGGAGACGCACATCTGTGTCCACACACACTCAACACAAGAGGAGACGCACATCTGTGTCCACACACACTCAACACAAGAGGAGACGCACATCTGTCCACACACACTCAACACAAGAGGAGACGCACATCTGTGTCCACACACACTCAACACAAGAGGAGACGCACATCTGTCAACACACACTCAACACAAGAGGAGACGCACATCTGTGTCCACACACACTCAACACAAGAGGAGACGCACATCTGTGTCCACACACACTCAACACAAGAGGAGACGCACATCTGTCCACACACACTCAACACAAGAGGAGACGCACATCTGTGTCAACACACACTCAACACAAGAGGAGACGCACATCTGTCAACACACACTCAACACAAGAGGAGACGCACATCTGTGTCCACACACACTCAACACAAGAGGAGACGCACATCTGTCCACACACACTCAACACAAGAGGAGACGCACATCTGTGTCCACACACACTCAACACAAGAGGAGACGCACATCTGTGTCCACACACACTCAACACAAGAGGAGACGCACATCTGTCCACACACACTCAACACAAGAGGAGACGCACATCTGTGTCCACACACACTCAACACAAGAGGAGACGCACATCTGTCAACACACACTCAACACAAGAGGAGACGCACATCTGTGTCCACACACACTCAACACAAGAGGAGACGCACATCTGTCAACACACACTCAACACAAGAGGAGACGCACATCTGTGTCCACACACACTCAACACAAGAGGAGACGCACATCTGTGTCCACACACACTCAACACAAGAGGAGACGCACATCTGTCAACACACACTCAACACAAGAGGAGACGCACATCTGTCAACACACACTCAACACAAGAGGAGACGCACATCTGTCCACACACACTCAACACAAGAGGAGACGCACATCTGTGTCCACACACACTCAACACAAGAGGAGACGCACATCTGTCCACACACACTCAACACAAGAGGAGACGCACATCTGTGTCCACACACACTCAACACAAGAGGAGACGCACATCTGTCAACACACACTCAACACAAGAGGAGACGCACATCTGTGTCCACACACACTCAACACAAGAGGAGACGCACATCTGTCAACACACACTCAACACAAGAGGAGACGCACATCTGTCAACACACACTCAACACAAGAGGAGACGCACATCTGTGTCCACACACACTCAACACAAGAGGAGACGCACATCTGTCAACACACACTCAACACAAGAGGAGACGCACATCTGTCCACACACACTCAACACAAGAGGAGACGCACATCTGTCAACACACACTCAACACAAGAGGAGACGCACATCTGTGTCCACACACACTCAACACAAGAGGAGACGCACATCTGTCAACACACACTCAACACAAGAGGAGACGCACATCTGTCAACACACACTCAACACAAGAGGAGACGCACATCTGTCCACACACACTCAACACAAGAGGAGACGCACATCTGTCAACACACACTCAACACAAGAGGAGACGCACATCTGTCAACACACACTCAACACAAGAGGAGACGCACATCTGTCAACACACACTCAACACAAGAGGAGACGCACATCTGTGTCCACACACACTCAACACAAGAGGAGACGCACATCTGTCCACACACACTCAACACAAGAGGAGACGCACATCTGTCCACACACACTCAACACAAGAGGAGACGCACATCTGTCAACACACACTCAACACAAGAGGAGACGCACATCTGTGTCCACACACACTCAACACAAGAGGAGACGCACATCTGTGTCCACACACTCAACACAAGAGGAGACGCACATCTGTCCACACACACTCAACACAAGAGGAGACGCACATCTGTGTCCACACACACTCAACACAAGAGGAGACGCACATCTGTCAACACACACACTCAACACAAGAGGAGACGCACATCTGCGTCCACACACACTCAACACAAGAGGAGACGCACATCTGTCCACACACACTCAACACAAGAGGAGACGCACATCTGTCCACACACACTCAACACAAGAGGAGACGCACATCTGTCCACACACACTCAACACAAGAGGAGACGCACATCTGTCCACACACACTCAACACAAGAGGAGACGCACATCTGTCAACACACACTCAACACAAGAGGAGACGCACATCTGTCCACACACACTCAACACAAGAGGAGACGCACATCTGTGTCCACACACACTCAACACAAGAGGAG